GGGTCCAGTTGCGAAGCCCTCTGCCTCCCCCGTCGGCTCAGCTGAAAAAAAGAATTGCTCTTCAGACACCAGTACAGGATCTCCATCTGAAACTACCAGACTTTGCTGTGCTATAATATCTTATGCCTTAATATGCCCTGAAACAAGTTGTGTTTTTTTTACTAATTCAAAATTCGCTTTTATCTCGCCAGCATTGTCTTCTTAATAGGGAGAGGCCTGATTTTAAAACGCTTCTCCAAGGATATGAATTAGTGGATATTCTTGCTCTGCCATACATAACAACCCTAAAAAACTCTCATGTTTCTTTAGATGCTAAAGAAGGCTTAAGAGGCTTTTTAACGAGAAATCAATGTTAAATTGTAAGAATACAATACTAACCCTAACCCCCTCAAAAAATCCAACATGGCGGAGAGACGTTCACTCAAGAATCCGACATGGTCCGCCATGTTGTTCACTCAAGGGGCGTGGTTAACCCCCGCAGTTCGTATGTATTGTTACGAATTTGTATGTTCAAGATTTTCGTGTACATTTTTACGAACAGGTTTTGGAGATCACGTTGGTTGTTGTGTTGTGTTCAGCGGTCCATAAGATGTGTACAGAGACATTATCAGTGTATGATTAGTTTTTTTTTTTTAAGGTGTAGCCATTTTATTACATGCTGTTGTGAAACACATTGCCATAAAACTCGGCTCAGCAACATCGGAGAAACCAGGATGCTTTTGAATCCTCCAACACACAAACAAGTGTTGTTAACTGTTTTCCAAAAAGTCGGGAAAAATCAAGTCGGAACCACTGATCGCTTTCCTCCCAAGTCAACCCCCCAGAATCATCATAATGAATGTACATACATCCAAACAAATGAAGACAACAAACATGGCTATTGTTACTACTTACAACTGTTTCCCAAGCAGCTTTTGGAAGCCTTTGGTTACGAGCAATGAGGCCACAGGCAGACTCTGAGGTATAACGCTACAAAGGATTTCATCTTTTTGTAGTCCTGTGACACAGATAGCAGGTACGTTTGCGCCAAATTAACTTAAATGATTGATGTGATGCTGGTGATTAAGACCAGAGAACTAAAACTGTGCTTCTGCTTTTGTGTAAAAATGTGCAAATGTTCAACATTTCTTACAAAGTTTGAAAGCGCTAGAGACATTAAACTGATGCTAAGCTCCTTTGGTTTTCCATTGCTTGGTTTTATACCAACATGATTAATTTCTACAGTCACACCGTAATAACACCTACAAACAAATCCATTTTCCTTTCATTACGCACAACAATTTCCCTACTGTCCTCGGAGAGAGAAGACTTTTTTTTCTTGTTCAGCTTGTTTTCCTTTGTTCCATTTATTTTTCTCCTCTTAGCTCTTGTTTGCTCTGCAACAGAAATAATCTATTTAAAAACACAATCAGCACGACGGCAGGCACCGTCCCTTCTAATCAAATCACAATGGAAGTTTACCATGCATTATCTATGAGTGGGATGTAATTAGACTTTAGCTTGCATTATCTTAAAGTGATTTTTAATAGCAGTATCCAGGGGGTATTTCCAATCCCATTTGTATTTATTTGCCAAGTCTGGAGTCAGAGGTGACAGCGGCAGGAAAGGTGAGCCGGTACTTGTGTTCAGCTGGTGTTCAGTGGGCCTGGACGCATCTCTACAACAGATGCTCAACCTCTGTTTGCCGCGGGCCCGGGACGGCTTTCCATCTGGTTGCTTTGCCCTTGTATGTAAGTTTGGAAAAATACTGAGCAGAGAGTCTGTCCTTCAACTGCTGTAGGAGGCCGTGGTTTGAGCCTCTGCTTTGGCAGCGAGTGTCACCCCGCTGAGGTGTCCTTGAACCAAACTGTAAATGCTGTGCAGCTCCAGAGGCCTAGAGACGTAGCCAGGTGAATTCATTCATTAAGGATATTTTTAGATTCATGAGATTTAAGAGGAAACTTTTTCAGCAAAGATTTAACAATACAACAAAACAAATCTGTAGAATAGCACATTACTACGTCATCTTCTTTAGTTCAAGTATAATGACAGAGGAATTAAAGATCAGAATTTCTTCTCCAATCGCACAGATTTTCCAAAACATTCAGTTGTGGAACAGAAAATGTACCATGTGGCAGATTCTTTCATCTCTTCCACAGAGCAGTGGTCACACAGAACAGCTGATGCCACAATAGTATTTCATATTTTCCACGTGTCACGCGATGTAGCACACAGTGTGTGTTGGAGACTGAACAAAAGGTCACATGTTGAAGCCATGTGACAAAATGACCTCTGGAAGTGGACCGCCTGACTGTGCGTGGGCGCCCTGGTACTCTTGTGGAAAAATAGATGAATAATTGATTTGACTCTAATGGGTGTATTGGGCAATGGCCATTGCGATTTGCATGGGAACGTGGGGATTGTAAATTGTGTACTTGTTCAAAGTCACTGTACTGTAACTTTTGAGTAAAAAAACATGATCACTATTTCTCTGATCACATGTTTCCTTCTTCAATATTTAATGGTATTTATGTTTGGAAAAAGGAATAATGAATTATGATGTTAAATCAGGTGATGAACAGTTTTTCTTCAGGCGTGTCTCCTGTTAGCGTCTTCAATGTTGCGGTATTTTCAGAGACCACTGTTGTGTAACCAAGAATGTCAGGAAAGTCCTCACCTCACCATGTCATGCTGCTGACATTATTCCTGCAAACCTAATTAACAATATCATACCATCACCTTCAATGCCTTCAGTGCATAACAAGCAGCCAGGAGGGGAGCGGGAAAGTATTAATATTTATGGGTTCATTCAGTAGTGAACATAGAGATGGAGTAAATTAGCAAGTCTAATGCTTTGCAATGCTATAATCCTCTACAAGGGGGAGAAAATTGATACAGTAACCACCATCCAAATCATCTGTGGAGTGCTGCCATTAACGCAGAGAGGATTCATTTTGTAGCATTCACCTTGTGCTGTGCTGCAAATTCAGAATGAGCAGTGCCTTATGAAGTTGTACGAACTACAGATGGTTGTGGCATCTGCATTATGGAATTCATCTGTTTTTCTCCTTCTGCTCATGATTAATTCTTCATCCTACACACTTTTAATGATTCATAATCTGTGTACAGCAGTGATTAGATTTAATAAAGTGCCAACAACCTTGGGTTGACTCAACTCAGCTGCAGTTTCCCTAATTTGTCACCGAGCCTCGGACCCAATGTGAACGATGCATCGCACGAGTGATTAAAAAATGTAGGCTCTCAAAGGCTGAATTTTGTCCTGGGATTGAAAAGTCTGAAGCTTTCAGCCTTCCATAGTCAAATTTTGTCCTTGCAGCTTCCCAGGTCAGGGAGATTGTCAAATAAATCAAAGCCTACTGTGAAGATGAAGAAGAACAATGTAGGCATCTGAAGAGGGAGCCAGCCACAGAAAGACCAGACATCATTTATGATCTATTTTTGCCACCACATGCAGTAGGTGTATGAGACAAATGAACAAATATCCCATCAGTGTTCAATTTGTTTTAGCATTATTACTTTTATTCATCAGTAATCAAAGTTAAGCCTTCATTTCAAACCAGATTTTGCAGAACAAGTATGAATAACCTCATCCAACAATATCTTATTTCACTCGGCACTACGGCGCTTCGTGCCGGCCCGTGTAGTGCCGATGTGCTGAGTGCCGCCTTTCCACCAGTAATGAGCTGCTTTAGCAAATCAGCTCTTAGTAACAGCTCAGAGACAAGGAGCGGTGCCATGATCTCTCCAGCCTTGATCTGGGTCAGGCGGTTGAGAAGGGCTCTTATTATTGTGTGTGTGTATGTGTTAGCATTCACCACGTGTGATATGTTGCTTGCCTCTTGTGGAATTGATCCTGTATGGTGTAGTTAACAAGCAGCAGAGATGGATGCATCACAGCTTCAGATAATGTTACAATATATAGAATCCTCTGAAAAAGTACACCGACTTGCATTTGTGTGACTAGAGCGTAATAATCGCACACACCTCGCAGGTTTGAATCCACAGCGCTTCTCTCAGGTAGAAGCATTCACATTAAATCTGAAACCACGAAATCATAAAAATAGTCCATAAACGTCTTGCATTTAACTTTCACTGCGCCTCGTTAAAATCAGAAAACACTGAAAAATGGTGAACGTATTTTGTGTTGCTACTCAAACAGGATACAATGGATCATAAATATCTGACATTAACAAAGCAGTTAATTTTGAAAGAATTGTGAAGAGTCATAGACTATTAGTCTAGGTTTAAAGTATATATGTTTGTATTCTTCTGGGACTCGTTCAACATGAGAGTGAACGACAAGAGAGTCTCTTTATAAAAAGGTCAAATACAAATTGAAACCAATTTTTTAGTTGCTTGGTAACATTGCATTATTTTCTATCCCAGGTTTAAGACTACTAGTAGTTATGAGGATGAAGGTTACAGATATAGAAAGTAGACTATGAAACTTCTGTCCCAACAAGGGCCAACCCTTTCTCACGGGTTCATTTTAAGGCCGTACCAAACTTCCTCCCGTTTGGATAAGCACTGCATGGCATAATCGCCCTTATCTAGTCCTCCATCGTCAAATAAGTCCAACGTCCTCTCCACCTTCTTTTCTTATGAGACCCGTCATCTATCTTTCTCTCACTCATTCCTTCAAATGGGATTCACTCCTCCTCATTCACCCAGCGGACACATTACAGGCCAGAACAGATGAGACGAAGCACACAGCAGTGCTGAGATATGGACCTACAGTGCGCACAGAATGTGGGGGATGTGCTTGTGTGCAGGGTTTTTTTTTCATCTAAGTCCGCCATAGTTCTATTCTATTTAGTATAACGCCAGCCCACCTGACAGGTTTCACACAATCACGCGGGAAATACAACATTTGGAGGCGAAATCGTTAACAGATATCCACAAAGCCGAGAGCTGAGTGCCCTTGTTGCCACGTCCTTGTCGGAACAGTGAAACCAACTGATTAATGATCCAGGAGTAAGAAACACACACACAGCCTACTGTGGGGATCAATTCATCACACTTTATTTTGAGTGACCCTGGCTAGTGTGTTGGCTGGAAAGCAACACAATACCCTCTCAGCACAAATGCATGAGCGGAGAATACAATACCATCATTCTACATGGCTTTATTGCTGGAGTGGGATTGAAGAGAGAGTGAAGGAGTGCTCAGATTATAGGCTTGTTTGATTATACCGTAAATAAGATTTCCGTTTTTTACATGTCCCTATGGACACTGGTTGTAATGAATCCACTGAAGCACCAAGCCCCATTACAACAGTGTGTTACACTGTATGTTTAGACATGCTGAGGATGCTTCATTAAAAGTGAGTTCACGGAGCAATCCCCCTGAAGGCTTGCAGTTGCTGGTTAAACTGGTCAGCACTTTCTTTGGCTGTAAGAAGCTGCTTCTCACACCACTGAACCAGAGTATGCTGCAGCATCTTCACACGTGCAGCCCGGAACCGATGAACCTACGTGAGTATCAACAAGAAGGATGTTATTCAATGCACTTAAGACCACTGAGCCACGTGAAAATGGAGAATCCAGTTTTGAATTGGATGTTTTACCTCCTGTTTAGCCACCACACAAATGTCATTGAACTCTATCTCGGCCGTTTTCTTTGCCTCCTCCATCTGATGAGCAGAGGGAGCATGATGTTGATCATCATCACGTCATACATATTAAACCTGCATGTTTCCAGATCTACGGGCTACTCCTGAACGCTGAAGAGCGTCACTGACACCTGCTGGCCAGAAGACAGCATCTACTGATCCAGCGGACTATGTTCTTGGGGTACTGGAGTACAGGCACTCACAGCGGCCTTCTTTAAGGGTTTGGCCTTCTCTGCATTCCTTCTGGCAGCCTCCAACTCCACCAGTTTACAGGTTCTCCTGAAGAGCATCTCCTGTGTTGGAAACAATAAGTATGTAACACACAGGAATATTAGTCGGAGGATTAAGTGTTTCACACTTGGATTCGGCCTGGATTTAAAGTAATCGGAGAGATAAAATACACATATGATGACTGGTAAACTGACTTTAGAACAATAAACCCACCTTTTCTGCCTCCTGGCAGCGTGACTCAAGGTCCAGGCCTAGCCCAAGAGTGTTCATGTCGTTCTCAGCAACACTTGTCATATTTTTCTGCCCACACACAAGCACATTATGTGTGTAAGCGTATTTGCCAAAGCAATAGTACATTATTATGTAAATAGATCCATGTTAAAAAGCTGAAACTGAACTTACCTTTATAGAATCAAAGACTTCTGATAATTGTACACAAGCCCTGTAGCAAAAATATATATTTTTTTTATTATGCACATTTATTATAACTTTTACACATTAATTTTAAGAACACAGGATTTTTGCACGGGACTAATGATGGTACTGTCTCACTTGGAGAAAGCCTGTTTGTCAGGATCCTCCCCTGGTTCCACACAGAGATGCAGAGAAGCTGAGAAGTGTGCACAGGCCACTGCTATTTCTGTAATCACATGCACACGGAGCACACACTAACATCGGGCTTGAGACTAAAATTATTTGCGTAGCAATGTGAATGAACATTGCCACAATACATATCAACCCATAGATTGTTTTACATCCTAAATAACACCAAATGATGAGCACTTCTCATCTGTGCAGCCTAAAGGAAATGTCCTTACTTTGCTCAGATTGCACCACATCGAGGAATCTCTGCAAGAAAATCAGAAGTGTAAAGATCATGTGTAAGGGAAGAGGAAAAAACAGAGGAGGACAAAAAAAAAGCGACAGGTCTCACCTCAGCTGCAGTCTTGGCATAGCAGGTCAGAACAAGGTTATGATTGCGTTCAGTTTGAAAGAATTCATCCACATCCTGCACACACAGACATTATGGTCACAAAACACAACATGTAGGCGTAGAGACTGTGTCGACTGTGTTTGTATGAGTCCCAGTTCTGTACCTTGTAGCCTTCTTTCCTCCGTTCTTCCACAGCTTGACTCAGACGGTTGAAAAGGTTTTTCCTCGCTCTCTGTCTTCCTGGAGGCTGGACACGATGACACAAATAAACATACATGTTTTTCATTTTGATTGATTGACATGATTTTCATGAAATCTACCCCTAATAAGTCAAAGATGTTTTTCGTGACCGTGTCACTAAAAGCTGCTTATGCCCAATAATAGCATTCCAGATTTAATGAAACCCATCAGACAGGAAAGGAGAAACTGTCACATCAGCAGTTTTATGTTCACGAGACACAGTTCAAATCATTAGTATTGCTTTGCAAAGACACGCTTTTATAATCTTCTCTTAACATTGTTACATCTTACCATTGCTCATCAACACTATTTAAAAGGAATGTAGGATGTTGCATAGTCGCATTTAACTGCAGGACTGAGGCACAACATTTTCCGCATGATAAATATCTCATCTGCTGTATCTTAGATAATGTTGTTAAGTGCTACTGTCTGACAAAAGGAATATAAAACACCTCTAAAATAAAATAAATTATGGAAACAATTGGTATCAAGTGAGATCCTTTTCATATTTGCAGGCACACTGGATTTTGGACCCTTTTGAAAATTTCAACATGGATATTTTTTCCATCTGTTTATCTGCAGTTTTATAGTCTGACTGTTGCTGCATTCCACTTCTGGCTCCACCTTCTTTCTTTCCACTTCTATTTATTTCCACTTACTTCTGAGCTCGTCAGGAAGATCTCCACAGCTTTATTTTTGCTGAGTATGCTGTGTGCAGCAACCTGCCGGAGGTAGCGTTCCAGCACTTTACAGTATAGCTGCCACTCTCCTAAACCGAGGAAACCTGCAGGAAAACCATCAACATTTGTCATCATCGTCAGCACTTAGTATCACATTCGTCACCATGTGAAAAGAAACGACATGAGATAGAAATGGAGAATACGTTTGAATTCATTTTGTATGGGGGGGTTGTCAGCTGTTCTCACCCAGCTGTTTCATAACCTTGGCCGAGGGATTCGCTGAAGCCTTTGCAGGGAGTGAAGGAAACTTGAGGAAAAACAAAGAATGATTTTATTACTTCCTTATGTATTTTCCAAAAACAGAAGGATTAATTATGTGCCGGGTTCGGGAGAGTAACATACAGCAATGCTCTCTGAAATGAGCAGCCCGGGACCCGACAGAGCATGATCTTATATATAATACATGACAAACACAATCCCACTGCACTCCCAGTCATACTAGGACGTAGTATAAACAAATACTTTATTGCATTTTCTACATCCAACAGGAAACACATTTTGGGCTTTTTTTTCCTATAGTACCGAGCAAGCTGGCAGAATGGCAACTCTGAAATGAGCTTCCTTGTTACTTTGGAAAGGAGGATGTTAAGAAAGAAAGGAGGAGCATTTGAAAAGCAGCAAACTGCTCCCAATAACATGGCTGACTTCCAACCACGTCTTTAAGTTATTGTACAAATCCACACAAAGTTATTTGCCGGAAAAGTATGAAAACTTTAAAATTTAAGTGAAATAAGATGTGTACGGATGATATGAATGAGCACTGACTATGACGCCCTGTATCCCGGGCTCATCCTCCTGAGAGAACAGCAGCTGCTGCAGCCATTCAAAGTCGTCATAGGTCCGGTCCACATGGTGCTCGCCCGTCCCAGACAGCTGGCTCAGACAACAGACAAAATCATAATGTTTTTTCCGTAATGCAACACACATCAACTGATGTTCCGCAATAATCTAGATCTAATGGAACTTAGGCAGCAAAAAAATATATATATATCATTTCACCTTTTGAGATACAATGAGGAAAGTAAGTGTGTCCCCATCTTTCAACACTTCCGTCACCTTGATGTTATGACCATGGACACTCAGAGTAGATGTCACTTCTTTTACTTCTTCCTGTAATTCAATGTGACAAGCATTTGTACCGACAGCTGTAAAGTAGATTCACATTAATGTGCAAGCCAAAGGTGCAGCCATTGCTGTATATGTGAATGGCTCCAAAAAGTCACATGACACTCAGCAGCGGTTAAAAAGAACATTTTCAGGCATACTTACCATCATAGTCGAGCCTGCAAGTTAATGAATCCAGTATGTCTTCTGTCTGCTTTGTAAAACGCTTAAATCTCCTTTTATCTCGATAAAGATGCCTCAACCTGTAAAGATCTTTTGTCTTGTGTTGGCTTTGGAGCGCGAGCGCTCCAACTGCTGAGAAAGCACAGGATATCCTTTGGGTCAAAGTGCACAATCTTCCCTGTGAGAAATGGGGTAAAACGTTGCCAGATCTAAAATGCTAGCGCAGGGAAAAAAAGACTAGTAAATTGTGCGTTAGTCAGTAACGGAGGACACACCCACACAGGAAAAGTGTCTGACCGGATTGGTCCCTACATCAGTGAACCTCTCAAACCTGTACACAAACACAGAACCTACAAGTTGTCTCACAAAAGGGACGGAAAACAAAGAGTGTCCATTTACAAGTCAGGTTTATTTAGAGAGAATGTTCAACCACAAACAGACCAACGTACATTACAGTGGGGAGAAGTATTTGATACACTGCCGATTTTGCAGGTTTTCCCACTTACAAAGCAGTTTTTATCATTAGTTACTCTTCAACTGTGAGTGAAATCCAGAAAATCACATTGTATGATTTAAAAAAATATATTTTGCAGTTTACTGCATGGCATAAGTATTTGATCACCTACCAACCAGTAAGAATTCCTGCTCTCAAACAAACTGGAATGGTCTCTATATAATAATAATAATAATAAGGCTAAAGAAAAGACCTAGTTTCTAATTGGTTGAGTGGTGTAAAGATCAGTGATTGTTTAAATTAGTTAGTTAGTTAGTTATTAGTAAAAGGGGGTAAGCAGAGCAAAGTGCCAGTCAATGGAGCGCTTTAAAAACACATAACAGATTTATTTATTTCAATTTCTACATTGTCTGAATACGAGACACGGATGCTATGATAACAATTTATTATGGAGACTTAATCATAAAAAACACTAAAATGAATGAATGAGTGAACATTTAGTAGAAATAATGTTCTTCTTCTTCTTCATCACCAAGATAGAAGCTGTAGTCGAGCTCTTCAATAATGTAATGTTTGTTTAGACCATCCATATCCGCCCCATCCGGATAAAAAGTCCCGCGAAAGAATGTGTCCTCCGTGAAGGGACTTCCATCCAAGTCATGGAATAGGTCTTCCAAAGGAAAAGGGAAGCTCGTGTCAAGTTCATCCTCGGGGTCTTCAGAGGCCTCGTCTTTGAGGAAAGCCTCGTGGCCCACACGGTCATACCGCCTCCTCTTCTCCTTGGTGGAGAGCACGGTGTAGGCTGGGGAACGAGGAAACAGGTGGATTACTATCAAATCCGTCTACCAAGCTCTTGACTGGTTCTGTACGTCTAAAAGAAAAACTCAAATGACTGCAAACTCCTCTCTGTATAATGCATAGAACAGATCAACAGCATCACAAACCACAGCCTCCCTGATAACGATAACAACTGAACACTCATGGAGGTTGGAGGCCAGAATGAAGAAGACAAATGTTTGAGAACTGTACAATTCATTTCACTTTTTTGGTTTTACCTTCAACAATCTCCCTGAAAGACTTCTCTGCATCACCACCCTTGTTCTTATCTGGGTGGCACTTGATGGCCAGTTTGCGGAAAGACTTCTTTATGTGGCTGTCCGCGGCTGATGGCTCAACATTTAGAATATCGTAGTAACTTTTGCTCGACTCTGAGGCGGCGTGCAGGACTTCGGAGAAGCAGAGCAGCGTGACCACGTGGGCTCGCACCCAGTGGGAAACGCTTTGCACGGACATCTCCGGATTGTGTGCGCACGGTTGAGGAAATGTGGCACAAAGAGCTGATCTGGAGGCAGGCGACGGTCTGGTTTACGGTTTGAGAGCTCGTTTCCGTAAAGCTGTCTGGACTACAATCCACAGGTGAGCGTAGCAGCACTCGGCAGACGATGGACGACCAGAGGCCCACGGTGAGTTCACTTAAATCAGCTGACACCTTCAACGGATTCCGCATGTTTGAACCGAACTACGCACGTGGGGGGGGCATCAAGTGATATGCTGTTATTATGCAGCGGTCTTTTCTAGTTTAGTTCACCATCGTTTTGTTGTAGAGATGCGTATGTATACTATCAAACCTTTAAACAAAACTGAAATCTTTCTCCGTTATGAGACAAACAAAACTCAAACGTACTTCAGTGCTATACAGCACTTTCGCCACTAGAGGTCAGAAGAGCACCCGGAGGACCGCTGGAGGACCGCCGGGGAACCAGAGAGGAAGAGCGTCTTCTTTCTTGGTGGTAAAGAAAAAGTGCAATAATATTGTCAACAGACCAGTCTGAACATCGGGCAGTCAGAAAAACACGACTAATCGATGTTGCCGCGATATAGCGTTACAATTCAGTGAACCAGAGCAGGGCGTTTCTGCGTGGGAGTCCTTCGGCTATTCTCTGGATCCTGTTTCTAGTTTAAATTTGGTAAGACAACAGATCTAACGTCTGCTAGCTAACGTTAGATAGCATTCACTAGCTTGTATACGTCAAACATGGCAATGCTTAACGTTAGCTAACGTTACTCATGTAGGTAGGCTAACGCCACATAATACGAGTGCACTTCATTTACCGGCAGCTTAAGTAACCCAATACATATGCATGAATAATATGCGATGCTATTATCAACCACACAATCCGTTTGCTGCAGATGAAACCTTCATTGCACAACATTCGACCATCACAGACCACAATCTAGCGTTAAATATCACATCCACACCAAAAAACTATGTTCGATCAGGCACTTCCCATCATTCCCTGAATAAGGCAGTTGGTGCAGGGCCTGGCTCTATGTACTGGGGCTGCCTGTATGTTGTGAGGTCATAGATAACCCCACGTGCATGACGTCAGAGCACTATGAGAGGAAGTTGGACACACGTCCAACCGGCGAATGATGCTTTGTCTTTGAGATCTTTGAATTGAATTGCCGTATGAAGAAAAAGCCATTCGTGACTTGTTTAATTCTGTATGTGAATGTTTGGCAGGTCATGTCGGCCCCCCTCAGACACATGAGTGGTGTTTTCTCCTCGAGCTGGGCCGAGCGCTATGCCTGAGCGGGACAGCTCCTACCTGTCAGGTAGCCGTGGGAGTGGTGGGAGTCTGGGTGACGAAGGAGGAGGACCTGGGTCTGGTTCGGCAGTGGGCACGGCGGAGGTTGGTTCAGGAGGAAGTCTTGGAGGCAACGTCTCTGGCTCCGGGAGCATGGGGGGTGGAGGGGCACTCGGAAATGGCAACAGCTGTGGGAACAGTGGAGGCGGGGGGCAAGGACCGGCCTTGGGTGGGGTCTGCAGGGACTTCATTCGCAATGTCTGCAAGAGAGGGAAGCGCTGCCGCTTCAAACACCCAGATTTTAATGAGGTGCCGGACTTGGGGGTGCAAAAGAACGAATTTGTCTTCTGTCATGACCACCAGAACAAGGAGTGCATGCGCTCCAACTGCCGCTTCGTCCATGGATCTAAAGAGGATGAGGACTATTACAAGAAAACCGGAGAGCTACCCCCCAGGCTAAGAGGGAAAGTTGCAGCACGACTGGGCCTGTCCCCAATGGATCTCCCCCACAGCCGTGGGGAAGTCCCTATCTGCAGAGACTTCTTGAAGGGGGAGTGCCAGAGGGGCAATAAGTGTAAATTTCGCCACGTCCAAAAAGACTATGAATATGAGCCCTCCAGGGTTGGAGTTGGTGGAGTTATAGGGCCGGGGACCAGTGGGATGGTGAACACCGGGGGAGGGATAGGTGGTGTAGGAGCGGGTGCCTGTGGAGGAATGCAAGGACTCGTGGGAGGTGGAGGTGGAAGTAATATGATGGGCATGGGGATGGGTTGTCCCAGCCTGGCCGGGTGCAGAGATCCAGGTATCACAGGAGTCGGGGGGGTAGGTGGCGGTGGGATGAGCACTTGTCTGTCTACAAGTTCTGCTGGGCCGCGGCGTTTTGACAGGAGCTCCTTGTACGTCCCTCTGCTTGAAAGTGGGCTGTGTGACGCCAGCTCCTTTGAGCCCCCCATGGAGCACACGGCTCTACAGTTGAAGAGGCGGCGGTTGGAGGGGCTGCGCCTGGCAGACGTGAGTGGAGGTGCCCACTATGAGCTGGGACTTCAAGCCACATTTCCACCACGCCCTCTGGAGTACAGGTTCCTGGAGGAGGAGAACTCCCTGCTGAGGAAGAGAGTGGAGGAGTTGAAGAAGCAGGTTAGAATGCGAGATGGTACAAAACTAACATTCGGACAGAGAAGAACATTTTGGTAGAAAAAAGGCAGTTCCTGTAGCTACGACTGATACCAGATACACTGGTGTGCAAAAGAACACATTTGACTGCGTAACGTAGCGCAATACAATATGTTGACAAAGTCCAGGTCTGAAGGGAAAATTACACCCAAATAAAATATTATTGTAATAAATGGACCAATAACCTAAAAAGCAGATATATTGCTGACCCGTTATGAAGCTACGGCAAGGATATGCCATTCTGTCCCCCAACCAGAACCCCACTGAATGTATTTGGGCACATCTAACACACATTTGGAAAAGTAAAGGGTGCTTAATGATTCTGCTCAGACCTAAAGAATCAGCAATTGCAAACGCTGTGATCATGATAGTTAGTCGGCAAACTATATAGTTGTAAAAGATGAGTCTTTCTGCAAAAATAGTCTTTTTTCACTCAAAGCAACTATACTATTTTTGGCCAATGCAACGACAACATTTCTGGCGGTAGACTTCCACTGTCCTTTTCTAATTCACGTCTCGTGTCTTTCTCAGGTTTCAAATCTCATTGCCACAAATGAGGTTCTTCTGGAGCAAAACGCCCAGTTCCGAAGCCAGACCAAGGTGATGACGCTGTCCTCCACGCCCGCACCCACTGAGCAGAGCCTGGTGCCCCCCGTGGGTGCCATAAGTTCCTACAACCACAGCATCGCTCAGACTCACACCACCTTGAGCAGCGCTGGACTGCAACCTCGGGCCGTCATCCAGCAGGAGCTGGTCGCGTCTAGCGGCGCCCCTTCGGCGGCCCAGAGTAATGCCGCCCAAGCTTCCGCCCCTCCGCCTCACCTCAACCCTGAGATCACCCCCCTGTCCGCCGCTCTCGCACAGACCATCGCCCAGGGGATGGCGCCACCTGTTTCTATGGCACCAGTGGCCGTGTCCGTGGCCCCGGTGGCCGTGTCGATGACGCAGCCCATGCCCGGCATCACCATGAGTCACGCCACCACCCCGATGGTGTCGTACCCTATTGCGAGTCAAAGCATGAGAATCACCACTCTGCCCCATTAACCGATTTAAGGGCAGGTCTGTGGTGCCCATGAGTCAGACAGGGGCCACCTTAACTGTGATTATTCTTTTTTCGAACTTGAAAGGCCTTCTTTTCTGTGTAAGCCACCGAACTGTTACAACAGACGAGCATGAGACACTTGTACTCGTCCAGCAGGGGGCAGGATAAAGACTCCCATCGGTCTGTGTTTGGTGGAAACATTGACGTTTGTCCTACAGAATGACTGACCTATGAACAGTTTTGAGCAAAAGGGACTTTTTGAAACTGTTCCAAGATAGACGTCAACTAACAAAATCTGTGAGGTTATCTACAGTTTGTGTTTACATTGTTGGATTTCTCCGGTGCAAATTAACTCTGGGACATTTAAAAATAATATTAATAATAATAACAGGCAGTCAACAATAAATCCTGTTTGTTTTAAGCCTCTCTCTTCAGTTCTCATTTTAAACAGTCACACCTCCACCCAATGCTCGAGTCCTTTGGCTGGAGTCCCATTATGTAAACTTCTAATACCCGCGTGGCTCGACATACAAGTGGAAAGGTGCACCGTGGGAAGCAATGCCCGCATCCAGAGGATCGAGGAGAAGGTCCACTCTGCTATTTGTAAAATAAACTGGAGCTGCAGAAAGAATTTGCACGGGATTCTGGTGGGTTCACAACTCGACAGGAAGAAGTATGCAAACGTGTACGGGTTTATTCTGCATTGTCCGACACTTTAGTTTTACGAGACAGTCAACGTCGCGTCGCAATAATTAAGTTGCGAATGTGGCTTTTCGATAACGTAATACTGCGGTAATAACAGTATTTACTACAAGCTGGATACCGCAGAGTCAACGACGCGGCGTGTGTGTGTGTGTTTTTTGTTGCTTCGGAGAGTGGGCGTGTTTTCATCCGCATAACGGGACAGGACGAGGGGGAAAGGATTTGTCAAGACATTTTTCCAGGACCAGCACTTAGTTAGCGAAACATCCAGTTCAACAATTCTAAAAACTTATGCGCCACGCAGGGACGGCGGACGGGCGGTAAGGTCGCGAGCGACGCGCGCGCGTTCTACCTGCCGCCACCAAATGAGCCGCTGAAGAGCAACGTCTTCACCCTCCGATCCAAAGTTATTGCGCGCACAACTGTAACACGTAACGTGGTTTTGTTTTACGAGAGGACGCCGGTATGCAAAGCGACAAATCGGAGCCGAGCGAAGCCGAGGGCGCCGAGTGTGTGAGCGCGAGCGACGCCGAGAAGAAAGCGCTGCGTGCGGCCGGGACGGGAGGTCCCGAGCCGCGAGGAATCAGCGCGGTCGCGGTGCTCTGGACGTTTGGGAAATGTCTGGGCGCCTTGTTGCCCGTCTACCTGGCCGGTTACTACCGGGTCAGCACCAGCCTGCTGGTGTTCGGGATGATGGTGTACACGGGATGGAAACACGCCCGAGAGGCCAAGGAGACGCGCCTGAGGTCGGCCATGCAGCTGCTCGACAACGAGGAGGAGTACATGTCCACGAAGGCGTTCAGGGGGAAGCGAGGCCTCCCTGCGTGGGTAAGGAATGAGCCTGATGGTGTAAACACAAACCAGCTTTGTCCTTATCCTCCCGGGACCCACGGGGACCTACACGAGACAGCAAGACCGCAGACCGGGGCTGCAGTGACCCTCAAGTCATAATATTACCAAAACATTAAGATACAGTTCGCAGGTAAAACATGCAGTAGGTCCTAATTGGAATTGCACACAGATGTCCCTTTCCAATCAATACAGTATTTTTCTCTCCAATTCATTCTAAGCCATTAATAATAATAATTGTGTAACGTGTGTTTTCTATTTCTATCTTGTCTGAAAGTATTACGGCACAACAAAGAAACTCAAAACTAATCCCAGGTGCAATTTTAAACTAGAGGTGGCTGGGGATTGTGCACAAAGTATAATAGCTTTGATTTGCAATTTAGACCCTGAGAGTGTGTGTACATAAAAGGGAATTGCTGAAACCCACGTGGGCCTTTGATGAACATCTGCCCACGCCCAGAGAAGGTTCCTGTGGAGACACGTTTTAGAGCATGATTTCAGTTCTGGTTTTATTGAGAATGAATACACGGAGAACACATTTCACAAGCTCATCTTGTAAAAGTGTTCTGACACATGAAGGATTCATTCAACGTTATTTTGACAGTTTAATTACTTGCTTTCCATTTTTCTTTTGGTAAAAGTCATACAGTCGAAAACCCGGTCGAAAAAACCACTCGGATAATATCAAGTGTGTAATCGATGACATTTCCCGAGATAAATGAGCTCTGACTCACTTCCGAATCCTGTTGTGAGTTTAGCGGGCCCTTTGAATAATTTAAGGATCTGCGCTCATTGTCTTTCTTTCTTTCAGGTCAGCTTTCCAGATGTTGAGAAGGTGGAGTGGCTAAATAAGGTAAATATCTACATGTTCCTATTAAACACAGCGCTTCCACTGTTTTTACTTCACACAAACACTCAAGTGTCTCCTCCTGTGTTGAGCCCGAAGCAAACCCACGTCTGTCTGCTCAGCTGCTGTGCTGATTGACGTTCTGTGCAGCATGCCAGCTTAATAGCTGGTAGCACGGCTGCTGTTTGCTGCCACGTCACAGAAAAGGCCACACCCCCATTAGGGTAGCCGCTGTGTCTGTGCTGCAGAGACTGCAGGCCCTCTGCCAGACAACCCTCTCAACATTTCCATTTCACTACAGGCGATCTCACAGGAAGGAGGGAGCTTCCCAGCCCCCCGATCTTTATATAACTGCAGCCATTGTTCACAACCCCCTTTGCCGTTTGAAGCTTGGACAAAATAATAAAGATATACAGTTAGAAAAGCACTCATGCTAAAAGAACCACGAGATCTAAGCGACAGAGGGGCAGACAAAGCAGTGATCTGAGACGGGTTACTGGAGGGGAGGTCAGCAGATTTCCTTGTTGCTCAAGCTGCATCCCTCCCAGGAGCAGGCAGCTGATGACTCACTCTCCACTTATGCCAAGCTGAAACCAACTCTTTTTTTTTTTAATCTTCCCTCACCGTCGAACAAACAAGCAGTGCTTTGGCTAGTTGTTTGTTTACCAAAGGAATAAAGAGTACTGTACATGAAGCACAGTTAACATTGTGTAAAACATGGACACATTAAGAGCATAGGATTCTTTGTGGTATATGTAAGGCTCAAGTACTGGCAACAGCTGTCTCCGTCCGATGGAAGCTGTGTCATTTGGTCGGCCGTTTTGAGACAGTGCAGTTTCTTTTCTCAAAGAAGTGTTCTCTGGTTGCATACACATGTCATAGTATGCATCTTAGACACAAGAGCACTTTATAACCACATCCTTGTTGGCCTGCCTAGGTGATGCATCAAGTGTGGCCATTTGTTGGCCAATACCTTGAGAAGCTGCTGGTGGAAACCATTGCGCCATCCATCCGAGCCCAAAATGCCCACCTCCAAACGCTCAGCTTTACCAAAGTGGATATGGGAGACAAGGTGAGGACATTTATAGCTCAAGTAGAATGTGACACTACAGTAAAGACTCACACAAATTATGTTTTTAATGTGCTGAAAATCGTCTCATTTGTTCGCTGCAGGCCATGAAGGTCGTAGGGATCAAGGCACATACTGAGAATGACAAAGGACAAGTCCTGCTAGATCTGTATATTAGGTGAATGCTTATGAACATATCCTTGGATTTGGGAACATCATTTACATTGTACCACAACTTTTAGAAGGTACTACCATTGATTACATGTCATTCTTCTTATATCCTCAGCTATGTTGGCAATGTAGAGATCAATGTTGAAGTGAAGAGATACTTCTGCAAAGCTGGAGTCAAAGGAATACAGGTCAGTTTTCTTTCAAGATTAAAAGTATTCTATTGAATTACAGAGTAGCATGCTATTAACACAAACATGTTTAATAGCATGTCTGTTTAAATGGATAGTACCACTCTGTCAGTATTAATCCATGGTTTTCACAAACATCCGTTGTGTTCTTCTGTCTTCAGCTGCATGGGATGATGCGGGTGATTCTGGAGCCCTTGATCGGAGATGTGCCCATCGTGGGTGCGGTCACCATGTTTTTCATCCAGCGGCCTGTACGTTCATCACGTTCACTCCTTTTTTATTATCGCTTCTCAACCCCCAGTCCTGTAAATATCATGTATCTCGTTGGTATGTCCGATGCTTTTCACCCTACCGATTTCACATCAATCCCGATTGATTTGCTGTACACAGCACATTCCTTTGTGTTGTCTCTTACCAGAAACTGGACATCAATTGGACTGGACTCACTAATATGTTGGACATCCCTGGACTGAAGTGAGTCATACTGAAATAACCCTTGATTGGTTCACAAATAAATTATAGCCTTAACCTCATAATAAACCCAGCCTCGCTATATTTATATTAATGTGCGGGTTTACACGGTGAATAGTAAATTATAAAGTCACTACAGCAGTGCATTTCCATTAAAATGATGTTTCTTTGTCTCAGTGTCAAGTCGGACAGCATGATTATGGATGCCATTGCTTCTTTCTTGGTTCTGCCCAACCGCCTTGTCATCCCCCTGGTTCCAGGCCTGCATGTGGCCCAACTACGCTCTCCTTTGCCCAGGGTAAAGCCTTAATATCCAACTACAGATGGAGGAAGACTATTATACCCTTTTCACTTCTCAGCCAATACCAGTAAATTCTATTTTACTTTCCTAGGGTGTGGTACGCATCCACCTGCTGGAGGCACAGAATATAGTAGCCAAGGACAACTACATGAAAGGTGTTATGGCCGGCTTGTCTGACCCCTATGCCATACTGAGGGTGGGCCCTCAGACCTTCACCTCCAAACATGTTGACAACACAGACTCTCCCAAGTGGCAAGAGATTTATGAGGTAAGTAGAATGAAAAGTCCCATGGAAAGCTTCATATTTGTGTCATCATTGCAACAACTCAATCATGAATCATTTCACTTTGTCCTCTATCTGAGTGATTAGGTTCTTACAGCTCCGGGAATGTTCATTTTCATTCATGGTCGCATGAGGCCGCAGCCAGCTTCCATACATTCCCTCTGTCAGTCTTCATGTCCTTGTGTGTGTGTGTCCGGTGCATCAGGTTATAGTCCATGAAGTGCCTGGTCAGGAGTTGGAGGTGGAGGTATATGACAAAGACACAGACCAGGATGATTTCCTGGGAAGGTACATATGCATATTCATGTCTTTGTGTGCCGAGGTTCAGCTTTGCATTGTCACACATTTGTCGTCATTCCTGGCCAGTTGGAAAAATGTACGCTGATTCTTTATGAAGCATGAATCTATACTTTTAAAGTTTCATCATCCTCCTCCATTTAGGACCAAGTTGGATTTGGGCATTGTGAAGAAATCCATAGTTGTGGATGATGTAAGTAAACGTTATGTTCGTCTCAGTCACAGTTTGAACAAGCCGATTCT